ATGCCTTTTCTGGCTGCACTGCCTCGACTTTTCCTATTGCCATGAGCGATTTCTCTCTCGATTTTCCGAGTCAACGCTCCAATTCTAGACTTCCCATTAATTATTTGGATATGCCTCGAGCGAATTGACCTTCATTGGCCTGTCCCAACCAAGCTACCCATTCATTAGGGCCACCAAAATAGTTTAATGGCAAGGGAACTGGTTTCCTTCTGATCGACGAGGGAATGCGGTCGACTACCCCAGAAGAAGGTGCCGAAGGTGGTCGTCCCCGTCGAGCCGTCCTGTTTTCCTTGGACTCTCAAATTCACGTGAGAGACTCCGAGCACTGTAAACCACCGCGTGACTTCGTTCCCCAAGTTTTCAGTGGCAGATCGAGATAACGCGAAGCGATGATGAATTTCGGCGGTGCGGGTTCAAGGGAGTTTTTGAATTTCTAGTGGGTAGGGAACAACCAGGCAGACATTGCGGTGGTTGCGTAAACAGGTGCCCGGGGTAATTAGCGAACAAGTAATTATAAGTAGTAACATGTGCTCGTGACACTAGAGATATCAGGGTCATGTCCCATGGGAAGAACTGCTAAAGGGTCTCTAGTGGGAATTACGCTTTCACGAGCACTTATCCAGGGAATATCCCTGGAGGCACTTCTTTGTATTCATTCAATAACATAAATCCCAGAACTTTGTGGGCCGTCATACAATCCCAAATTTTTAGTGAAAAAGGTCAAAGTCTACAGTATCTCTTGTCCTTCCATTCCAGGAAAGGGAACTGGTATCGGCGCAGCAAAGACTGTGAATTTCTCCATACGGTAGCGCGGAACGAAGGAGTAGAACACGGTGTCGCGCGTTTGACGTCCTTCAAGTTGACAGTTGATCCATGCCCCTTAGTGAATTTCGATTCGATATCGAATCCATTATGGGACTAGCCTATGCTGATACTCGGGGTTTTCCTAGGTGACCACCTTAACGGAAAGGAAGAACAATGGGCGTCAAAATGTGGTCAAGGTTGAATGGGAGTGAACCCATTTGTTGCTTTTCTGCTCATGATTCCTGGACATTCGTGATTTTGTTTATTCCTCCGGAAATCAAGGGAAAAAGACGAGAGAATCCCAGTCGACAGCCCCTAAGACAGCCATGTTCTTCCCTTCGCGATCGTTAAACGATCACAGACTCGTCTGGTGCCCAGCTGGTAGAAGAACTAACTTGTGAATGATCCTTTTTCGAACGAACCGAGGGTAAAGGCTCGGGCGTGTACCAAACGGAAACGCCCTATAAAGGCCAAACTGTCTCTCCCCTTTCCATGGGTGCTTCCTTACAACTTCCAATTCGATCATTCCCCTACTGAAGCCTATCGAAATACATCAAGTATTTGGATTTGAGGCCTTTTCTTCGCAGTTTCGTGCACGCTTCATTCCAACGCTTCAAATCCGAAGCAGGGAAGTTCATGATGAGCCTCACTGGTGGGATGACTGCGATGTAATGAATTCGTCGTGAGTAGCATCACTTCCTGGTTCCAAACGAAATTCCGTAACATTCCGGGAAAAACCTGGACTTTTGCGGAATTCCCGGCGATACTTTCCCAATACCCTAACAGATGTGTCATGGTCTAGAAGATGGCTGGTGGTCTTATTTAGCTGCGCAATCTTGTCATCTGTACGGATGGGGGATGTCGTCACATTTGAAAGATTACCGACAATGGTAGTTAGAAGGCGCAGATATGACGAGTCCTCGACTGGAACTGGAAATTCAGCCCCACTCCAAGGGATTAGAAGACAATACGAATATCTGCCTTGGATGTTTTTTTTTGAATTGGAAGGATGTAGTCCAGCCAATTTGCCTGATGCCTGAGTTGATTTGATTTTATCTGCCCTTCCGGTATGGGCCCTCATGGTCCATCCGAAATTTTGAATGGTTTTCGAAGAGGGTGTAAGTCAGACAAGAACTAGTCGCGGAGATCCTGGCCAAGACTAGTTGAGGCTGCGACGATAGAGCTCCAACATGCTAATATTCTCCCAGATTACTTTCTAAAGATATTGATTTTGTTTGAAAATCAANTTTTTTTTTTTTGAATTGGAAGGATGTAGTCCAGCCGATTTGCCTGATGCCTGAGTTGATTTGATTTTATCTGCCCTTTCGGTATCATACTCATGGTCCAACCGAAATTCGGAATGGTTTTCGAAGAGGGTGCAAGTCAGACAAGAACTAGTCGGGGATCCTGGTTAAGACTAGTTGAGGCTGTGACGATAGAGTTCCAACATGCTAATATTCTCCCAGATTACTTTCTGAAGATATTGATTTTGTTTGAAAATCAAAATGACAGATGTGAAAATCGTTCAGGAATGCTGAAATCGGTCGCCTCCCTCGATTATATCAAATTCTCCCTGGCAGCCATTGAAAAAGGACTGGAACTGTGTGCTCAAAAAGCAAAACAAGTATGTTAAAACTTTTCTGTCAACACATATATTGTAGTAGTAATTCTGTGCCCTTCCATCGGTAATTATCAGTTAATTTATGCCCTCTTTGACGAATTTTACCGATGTTTTCGACCTACCCCTGTATATGCCCAAGTCCCCTGTCCTGACGAATGATTTGGGCAAATTACGCTGTAACGTCCCGTCTATCTGTAATGTCGATCTGCGTCCTTGCTGATCCAGAATAGTTATGCATAAACTGGGCTTGAATCGGACGTTTGCTAAGTCTTCGTGGTTGATTACCCGACCGGCGGCACCATCCACAGCCCACGAGACAGGTAGTCGGTCGATTTCGAACTGGCACTGACGTTGACGTTTAAAAAGATGAGCTTCGGACAAGAAGAATCGATTTCATCGTCTGTTTGGCCTTGAAACTAAGAGATATGGTCTGTGAACGGCCGGCGATGGCGAGAGGGGCTGTCAACAGACAAAACAGGAGGGTAGGGATAGGCGGCATAGGTGAAATGGCAGTCGACAAATTCAAGAATATCTTGTTCCCGGAGAATTTCTATTGATCCAAGAGAGTACGGTTAAAAAAGCTTTTCACTTCGGTGTTCAGGGGATGGTGTTCAAGGAAACCTGAAGTTCGAGAAATTTCTCGTAGGCCATTGCGCTTATGTTTTTCCATGAAACAAATACCCAGTTGGGTATGGTAAGGTCAAAGAGAATCGATTTTTTTCTGGCAACAATTTGGGGATTTGGGATAACCTACGTTAATGTTAACATTCATAAGCCTTTCGACTATTTGAATTTTTTTGGAGTTTTATTTTATGGGTATTTACAAACAATGATTTCATTTATTGATATATTGATATTCCCAATCATGATCGATCAGGCAGAAGGTATGCGCCACTCTCCCGAATATCACAAGTTTAAGAGTTTTTTTAACCCGATAAAACTTTCCTGTACATCACCAAAGCGACCCGGATCGATGCCCGCCTAGGTCAACCATGATTTCCATCCCTCCGGGGTCGGTGAATTGGTACCAGACTCGTCTGGGAGGATAAAAGCACTGAGTTGTACATCGGCTGGCCACCGCAAATCATTGTATAGGCCACATACGCACTCATTACGCCACTACGATTCTGAATGGAAGTCGAATGCGNGGGCGCATCCCTCAGACGGGATTGATTAACGCCAAAAACGTTATCCTTTATCCTTTATCACCAAAGCGTTGATAGCCTTGGGAGACTTTTTTGGGAAAGAATATAGAAAAAGTATTTTGGAGAATAAAGCGAACGAGTCGTTAATCGACGTGAAGATTTTCAAATTTTCGAGATTTGAGAATGGAAAAATCATGTGTGGGAGCGCTGTCAAGCAGGCAGAGAACCTTGTTGCGTTGTGGACGCTGTTAATGCAATTCGATTACCATTCCCAGCAGCATAGCAGAGAAAAGGTAAGGGATCGCCAGCTCACACATTTCAGTCCACATTCCCGTTGCATTGCATGACGACGCTGGTGAAGATACGGAAATGATTGTGTTTCTTTCAAAGAGTGGTCTTTTTTCTGCAGAAACTGCGTAGTAGTGAAGGCATTTGAGAAGACCAGGATGAGGGCATAATCGTTAAGCAGATTATATAAGTTTAGGATTATAGCTTTGTTGGGAGCCAATCTCGAAGCTTAAAAGAAAATTCTGGCAATAGAGGGTTTTTGTCTCATGAGTTTATATTTGAGTGGCCGTAGATCCAGCATCCAGCATAGGTCCAGCATCCGACAAAAGCCGTATTACTATTACTGAGGTGAAAATATCTGGCTTTCCTCTCCGCCAGATTTCAATTCAATGGACTTCTCTGTATGGGGGTTCTTGGAGAGCAAAATCGCAGGAAGCACGTTGGATGCTCGAAGTTGGCGCTTCAGAAGGCGTGGGACGATAACGTTGTCGACTACCTGTGGCGTACGGTTGCCACAGTCATCGAGAGTCTGAAGGTCTGTGTAAGAGCAAAAGGATCGAACTTGGAACACCTGATGTCCTAAGTGATCTTTCTGTTCTACTCTATTGCTCAATAAAGTTGATTTGTCTCTCTGGTCTCTATCTTTGAAGTTACGCCTACAAAAGTGGTGTCCTATACTTTTCAGCCACTCTGTATGTGGTCCATCTTACAGTCATGATCTCATGGGATCCCTAAGCTTTTTTAGATACACGACTAGCTAAATTTTCGGTAAATTCATTGCCCTCTTCGGCTGAGGATCGAAAAAGGAGGAATTTTATTGAAATTTTCACTAAAATCACTCCTATCTCTGAACGGCGGTCACCCTTGGTAGTTTTATAAGTAGTAATAATAAAGTCCGAACGAACCAAATGGATGTAAGGTAGCAACGGTCGTATGAGCTCTCTCGATTTCGAGTTCTCCTATTTTTACCTATTTTTTCTATATGGATGGTCACTTTTTTGCAAGTACTGTATTCAGAGTGGACGACCGTTCGAACAAATGATGTTGGTATTCGATTTGGACCATATTGGCTCTGCACATTTCTCCTGCAAACAGTTTGCAAGCTCTTTTACCACTCTCGTCACCCTTTTCCAGGAACATTACCCATTAGTGCTGAGAAAGATACTAATAATCAGGTAAGAATTCGCAAGTTCATTCTGAACGTTTCAATACCTGACCACTCTGCTATCTCAGGGCACCTGAAATGGCTCGAATAGCCTACGCCTCAATTACTGCCATTCTCAGCGATCCTATCACAAGGCTCATCGAGATGCCGTCAGAGGTACGGAATTTATGAAGTTTATAGGTTGACAGCTGAGTTTTTCGCTTTTCTCGTGGTTCCCCTTTCTTCAATGTCCGTCTCAACTTCAATGCCAAGGGGACAGGTGGAAGTATGGAGGGCGTATGAGCTTTACTGCTTCTTCCAACCAGTAGTATGGTCGGGTAGAGCCTAGAAATAACGTGTCTCCGTCATAGGTATTCGCTGAGTACCAATGAGGTCATCAACAAAACGATCAAACTGGGGCAGTATCTAATCGCCTTCGGAAATCTGACTTTCACTATTGACTAATGAAGACATTTTTGGCAAATAGTTTCGTTTCGGGGGGGGGGGG